GCCCCAAAAAGGTGGGGCTCGAAGACGGCCTCTGTAAAATAGCTACTCCATTTTTTAACCGCAAGAATCTTGCGAAGCAAAAACTGAGTAAATGACATGTAAGGAAACTGAACGATGGGGAATAGAGAGTTCGAGGAAATGGTGAGGGGAAAAAGTAAACTGGAAAATACAAATAGAAGGAAAGAGAAGATAGAGGGAGCCTTTGAGGAAAATATAGAAATTGGCATGTGTCAAATAGGAAAAATAATGGGCAAAGCGGAGCAGCGGCAGAGGATGAGAAGTGAAAAGGATTCGGCTGGTGGAAAAGAAGAACAATAAGACAATGGATACTTTGGGGCTTTAGTTGTTTGATGGATACTTAGGAAAATATTAACCAAGGCTTCTTTTCACATTCTCCCTCGTAAGAGAGTTTTTCAGACAAATTCCTTATCGTTATAGGTATGCCTTTATTATTGTTATCAGTAATTTTAAATTATAATTTGTAAAAATGAATTGTTGAGGCATTGAAAGTTCTTATTATCTTGAATACCTTCTGTATGTAGACTGTTCGTTTTAAAAATGAGCTGGAACGTAATATTACCATCAAGCTAGGATATGCCAACGCAAAGATATACAAGTGTGAAGATGATCGATGCCCTCGACCTATGTGCTACAAGTAAGTCCTTAAATATGGATTTGCATTAATTGACGTGCTTCGTTCTCGGGTCTTGTTGGTTATGCTCAAATATCAATTTCTTTTCAGGGCATATGGAAGTGGAAAAGAAGATGGTCCAATGTGTGATGTGCCTGGGTTTGAAAACTCTAGGATGAAATTGCTTAGACATGTCTCTTTTGTTGATTGCCCGGTCAGTATTTCAATGGCCATTTCTCAAAAACTGCTATGTTGTTTTTATTTTTTCTCTAAACAACTCTTGCAGTGATGCTATTATAACTATATCTTTGAAGCTTGTAATTACACTTTTTCCCCTATGAATATTAGGAATTAGTCTTGTCTTGGGGCCTCAAGATTATTTGTGTTCCTGATGGAAATGTTCTTTTACTTGTGTGAATGCCTGTAGGGTCATGATATTCTCATGGCTACAATGCTTAATGGAGCGGCAATTATGGATGGGGCTTTGCTACTCATAGCTGCCAATGAGAGCTGTCCCCAACCTCAGACTTCAGAGCATTTAGCAGCTGTTGAAATTATGCGCCTTCAACATATAATCATTCTTCAGAATAAAGTTGATCTAGTTCAGGAAAATGTTGCAATCAACCAGCATGAAGCCATTCAGAAATTTATTCAGGTTAGTGGTGCATATCTTATATAATCTGGTATATTACATTAATTTTCGTATTTAATAGGATCGTCCATTTCGTGCTCTCAGGGAACTGTTGCAGATGGTGCACCAGTGGTACCAATCTCTGCACAGCTCAAGTATAATATTGATGTTGTATGTGAATATATAGTGAAAAAAATCCCCATTCCAGAGAGGAACTTCATTTCACCACCAAATATGATTGTCATCCGATCTTTTGACGTCAATAAGCCTGGGTTTGAAGTTGATGAAATTAGAGGCGGGGTTGCTGGTGGTAGTATTCTGAAGGTATATTTATTTGTTACTTCAATGAGTACAATTAAAGAAATTCCTATTTTTACCACCGGCCACTTTTATGACGAAACTGTTTGTCCAACTTTTTCCTGGAATATCAGTCATGCTGATCATGTTCTGTTATTATAAAAAGCTAAAATTCCTGTAATGTTTTCTCCTAGTTGTATTATGATTTTTCTTCCCATTCTCTGCTTAATCAGTAAACACATGCAACTTAAATTGCAAAATGCCAGCGATTTAAAGGAGCTGTTTGATTTTTTGTGCAGGGTGTTTTGAAGGTGAATCAATTTATTGAGGTTCGTCCTGGTATTGTCGTTAAGGACGAAAATGGAAACATCAAATGCACCCCAATATATTCTAGAATAGTTTCATTGTATGCGGAGCAAAATGAATTGCAATTTGCTGTGCCTGGAGGCCTCATTGGGGTCGGAACCACCATGGACCCTACACTTACACGCGCTGATAGGTTGGTGGGACAGGTTCTTGGAGAGGTTGGTTCACTTCCTGAGGTGTTTGTTGAGCTGGAGGTACGCATTGGTGCAAGCAAATAACTTATAATTACATATAAAGTTGGTAGAACCTGCATCCTAGCCTGTAATGATTTATTATTTCCTTTTTAAGAAATTGATTTCTTCCTTGAACTTTTTCCAATACTTCCAACAGTTGCTCTACTACCTCCAAACATTGGCTGGATTCATTTAGCGCTCAAAATTTCTGTCTTTGATGCAGGTTAATTTCTTTTTGCTGAGACGGCTGTTGGGTGTGAGGACAAGGGACTCTGAGAGACAGGGTAAGGTCTCAAAGCTGGTTAAGGGAGAGATTCTTATGTTGAACATAGGATCTATGTCAACAGGCGCTCGAGTCATTGCCGTCAAGAATGTTTTTGCAAAACTGCAACTCACATCTCCTGTATGCACCAGCAAAGGAGAGAAAATTGCTCTCAGCCGAAGAATCGAAAAGCACTGGCGTCTGATTGGTTGGGGCCAGATTCAAGCTGGTATTACTCTTGAAGTCCCACCTTCTCCATTTTGATTGAACTACTGGTCATTACAGAGAAGCCAGAAAAATCTTAAGCAAACCAGAAAACGAGGGAATAGATGTTGGCGGGCAGGTATCAATGGGTAACCATTTTTGTTCGATGGATAAAAGATTATTTGGAGTTTCGGATACTTTTATTGCATGTGGTAATTTTCCCCTTTCTTTTTTCGTGGAAGTTCTTTATACCTTGTTTAAATTGCTTGAACGCGAACTGGATGTCATCAAACAAAGCTATGTGCTTGTTCATTGCCATTACTGAAATTAACATCTCTAGTATTGGAATGTTGACTATTGCGACACAATTTTTTGCAACCAAAATTCTCGTCTTAATCTGAGGTTATCATCTAGTAACAGCGTGCATTGGGGTTGATATTTAGTTGTCATAATTACATATTGCCTAGCAAATGGTTGAAATAGGTCTCATCAATATGTATGGTCATGAAATAAATATATATAAACTTAGCTACCTTTTATTTGAAGTATCTCCACGGTATCGGGCACGTCGACTGGATAGGAGTCGATAGTATCAGACCAGACATTAGTTTTATCAGGCTTAATGTTGCATACGCATTTCCATACTGCACTATTACACTCGAATCTACTTCCAAATGCAATTAGCCACATTCTGTCACCTTTCCTCATTCTCCCATTGGCTTCTGTATTAACTTGGTTCATACCATGTGGAAGATGAAGTATTCCCAAATCTATGCAGGGTCATTTTTGAGATCTGGGTGCAGGAATGCTCGAACCCTTTTCTGAAATCTGGTATATAGATGCTTTTCTTGTCCAAAATCTTCATTTTCTGTAACACTAAGGACAACCCATAACGAAATTGTTCTGTCAATGGCAAGACCATGGGACATAACAAAACCATGTTTGCTTTTAATGCTTCTGCTACATTCGTGGTGTTCTTTGATATGGACACCCCTACGTTGTTTTCATTGTCAGCTTCCTGGAAAACACAGCCGTAAGATTGATGATCTTCTGCTCTATTCGTTCTTACAAGGTTTTGTAGCACGTACTGCGCTTTCTTCTTTTTCCTGATCTCGACTGGTCATTAGTATTGCAGCACTCCCCCATTCTGAATAGTTGGTTGGCAACATAGAACGATCCTTCCCTGTATACCAATTCTGACTCAAGACTTCACTGCTCACAAGTGCCATCGAGTTACTGTGGACTCTTAAAAGATCATTAGCCTAAACCTACTGATATAATTCCTGAGCTAATCCCATGCCGGAAAGATTAAAACTCATAATATTGCTCCTCATTCTGAACTTGTTAATTACAATTGCACTTGGTGAAGGTTTATTTGAAAACATACTAGAATTGATGGAGTATTGTGGGGGATGAAATTGCTTTTGTATACTATCTATGAAATGAGTGGAATAATTCACTAAATTAGTCACCTTAGTATCTTTAAATTTGGAAGTAATCTTTTTTGTGTAGTCAAATGATAGTCACTGAAGAGTAAAAAAAGAAGCTAAAATCTTGTTCCTTATTTGTCCAATACAACGTTGTGTATGTGTCCATATGAAAAGAGTGGTATATTGTGTTGGGCAAATTTTTCGAGAACGGGGAAAATGTAGAAGATGAAGTTGGAGATTGTAGCACGAACTTTTAGAGATGAATAATTTGGCTCCAAGGCACGTTAGGAAGTCAGTTCTCTTAAGACGTTTACTCCACTATATAAATGGGGATGCAAATATGCCTCCAAGATACAGTGGAATTCAAATATGACAAAAACAATCTGAACACAAACGAAAAATAAAGCCTTATATTTGAGGTTTATATTCCATCTTTTCGAAGTGAGAGAATACAAACTTTGAAAAAATGGAGGAAGAAAATATGCATAGAATTTTAAAGATGAAGAACAGGAAGAGAATTTCAACTTCTTATCGAATAATGCTATTTGCCGTCGCTCTACGTAACATACATTGATGTTTATTAATTTGATGCATGAGGCAATAAAAAATTAACACATTAATGCATCTAGCCTTGTTTGTTTCCAATTATTTCAACAAGAAAAAGGCTTTTTTGACCCTTTTTTTTTAAAAATTGTGGGGCCCACTATGACACAAAATGGTCAAATATTGTGGCTCACCATTACAAGCAACGGTACAAATTCTGCTTTTCATTGGAAACAAATAGGGGCTTATTCACTAACCGTCCATGTATGCCACGTAAGAGGACTATGATAGTGAACGATTGCAAATAATATTTATAATCAAAAGATGCTGAATCTATTTTTGTTGGTTTGACTTAAAATTGTTAAATAAAAGAATTTTATTATGGAAAGAAAAATAAAATTATTGTTTAAAGACGTGGGAAAAAAGAAAAGATAATAAGTGTTATGGTAGAAGGAAATAATATTTAAATAGAATAAATTCATGACATTCCATGGGAAAAAAATCTGCTTGGCACCGAAGTTACGGAACAGCCAGGCGCCAAGATTCATGGTGCAGCCAAATTCTTCTTGGTTCAAGCATTCCAATTTCAAAGGAGAATTAAATACAAAAATAAAAAAAAAAAAAAAATCTCCTTTTCTCCTTTATCAAAATAATTAATTAAAATGAATATAATTTATTCATAATAAGGTTCTTGAAATAAGATATTAACAATGGAAAAATAAAAGGACATTCTTGCCACCCAAGAGTCTCTCACATTATATAGTTGGTAATCAGTTTTCCTCCGTTAAACGTTATTCTTGAAAACCCCATAGACCTCTCTTTCTCTTCCCTCTCATACGTACAAACCCCTACTAAAAAAACCCAACAGAAGTAATAATCTTTCTTGAAAAAAAGTGATTAATCATGGCTGAAAACTTAGATTGCAGAATGTATGAAGCAAAATTTCCAGAAACAGACACTACAGTAATGATCAAAATTCAGAGCGTAAACTCAGATACATGCGCATATGTATGGCTCTTAGAATACAACATGGAGGGAATGCTTAGTTTCAGAGAACTTTCACAGCGGCGGATCAGAAGTATTGCTAGTTTTGTTCGGGTCGGGCGGGTTGAACCAGTCAAGGTTCTGGATGTCGACCCGAAGAAGGGTTTTGTGAATTTGAGCAAGAAAAGGGTTTCTGAGGAGGATAAGAAAGCATGTGAAGACAAGTACAATAAGAGCAAGCATGTGCATTCAATCATGCGGCACGTGGCCGAAATTGAGAACGTCGATCTTGAAGTAATTTTTTTGTCTTCTGATTTTTGGGTTTTCCTGCAATTTCTTGATTTTTTGCATAACAAGATTATTGATTATGTACGTAAATTGTTATCTATGTGGTGTATTTTTGCTTTTTTCTTATTTATGTGAATATATGAACTTCGAAGTATGTTACCAAGATTCTTGATTGTGTTAGTGCAATGCATTTTTTGTTTCTTTCTTATGTTTCTTGAAAGCGTGTTAAATAGATTCTTGAATTCCCTTCTTTTGAAAGTCAATTCTCTTCGCGATTCAGCAATAATTTGTGGCATTAGCTAAAAATATGATTTTAATGAGCAATGATTATGTTAATAGCTTGGCTGTTTATGCATTTTTATCTTCCCATATACTTAATTTGGTTGTAAAATTGTTTCCAGGATTTGTATATCCATGTTGGATGGCCCTTGTACAAAAAGTATGGACATGCTTTTGAGGTTATAGTTTTCAACTCGCTAATTTTTTTTATTTTTTTATATTTCCGACCTTCTAAACATACGATCTATTCGGCGCAGGCCTTCAAACTAATTGTGAATGATCCTGATTCGGTTCTTGATCCCCTCACTCGCGAAGTTGAAGAAATTAATGTTGATGGGGAGAAGGTAATAAGTAATCTAATTTAAGTTTGAGTTTCATCTTCCTTCCTTTAGTTCAGTACACCAATTTTTGCCTTTCCATGACTAAAATTATGATGGCTCTTAAAAATGATCAATGATGCTAAAATCTTCATCCTCAGGTTACTAAGTTGGTTCCTGCTATGACGGACAAAGTAAAGGATACACTAGTTAAAATTATAAGGAAAAGACTGACTCCGCAAGCATTAAGGATTCAAGCTGATGTTGATATGACATGTTTTGAATTTGATGGTGTACTTCACATCAAGGTCTTTCTTATTATTCCTATGTCTAATTCCTTTGTTAAATTTTTGTCAGAGATAAGCTAGTTTCAACTTTTTTTCGCATTTCTGGAGATGTAGGAAGCAATGAGGAGTGCTGAAGCCGCTGGTAGTGATGAATGCCCTGTAAAAATTAGACTAATTGCTGCTCCCAAGTATGTTCTTTATGCTCAAACAGTTGACAAGGTAATAAAAGATCCCGACAAGAAATTTAAGATTTATATGAAAGATTTTATGAGCCGAAAAATCATTTTTATGAACTCAACGCTCAACATTATCTGTAATCATATTTAAATCTTGATATTATGACATTACAATCAATTATACAGAGGTTTCGATATTAGGAAATCTCTGATCTTCGAGTTTCTGTTGAAGTGAGAATAAAAGATGGAACTTTTTTGGATGAAGTTTCTGTTTTCATTGCAGGCAAAAGGAATAGAAATTCTTAGCAATGCAATTGTTGCTTGTACTAAGGAAATAGAGCAGCATAAGGGTAAACTTGTTGTAAGAAAAACACCAAGAGAAGTAAGTGCCGCTTCTTGTTTTTAGTACACACTGTTCTGTTTTTTCTTTTTGGTTGGATATAAAATGTAATCAAATAAAGACATCTTACCTTGTAATAATTACAATATTCTGGGAATGAACTTCATGCATTGTATTTCTTAGTTAAAATTTTTGCTCTATGCAGGTTAGCGCACCTGAGGATAAACTATCCACTGAAGAAATGTCACAGTTGAATCTTGGCAATGAGGAGGTCTGGAGTGATGAAAACAGCAAAAATGAAGACAGATAGGCAAATGGTACAGTGTAGGAGAATTTTGATAGTGAATATGTCTTTTAGTATTTCTCAGTTTTAGTATTCAACCAGTATCAGCATTTCAAGAATTTCCTAAAATGTCATATGTTATCAACTATCATTTGCTTCATTCTTGAGTTCCCTGATTAAAAGGGAGTGGGGGTTTTCTTAGACCAATTGCTCCTATATTCTTATTCTCCTACTCCCACCCTCTTTCCTGCCGATAAAGGCATGCGTTCTTACGGTTTACTTGTTCTATTCTTCTTGCATTTGTACTGACAGTTTGTTCACTGTCGAATCAATAACTCAAGTATGTGAATCAAATCACATACTGAATTCTGAAATCTGATCAATCGTGAATTCCTATAAATAATTTTGTCAGACCAACCATAACTAGATAAGCAAATAATGAACAGAAACTTGCAGATTGCAATTCTACTGAAATAGGTAGTATAAATATAAGTAAATTGGAGATCTAATTCAAAAAACTTTTCGAGTTTTTTTGAAACGTCCGCTTCTAGCAAGTTGCATTAAATGGACCATTATTTGGTTCTGAAGGAGAGAGCCCCAAAAAAAAAAAAAAAAACTTGTGAGGCCAAATGAAGCATGCTTTTGAAGATTAAGGAGTGCTTTAGATCTACCTCTAGAGTGAAGCCCACAAAGTAGAGGCATGCAAGGGGATGATCAACTGCAAATGCATCTTCAAATTTGACAGGCAAATCTTGAGAAGAAAAAACCCACCTAAACTTTTTTTTTTTTGACTTTAAATACAGATCATACAATCCCTTGTCCAAAATTTTTAGTTCAAAGTATAGGACAAAACAGTACACTAGACATGATTTTAGCTTCTTTTCTTCCTTTAATAACACGGTAAGAGACAAGAACTTCTAATTTTGTCCACTTAATTTTGCTCCAACATGCCCTGAGCAACGTTTCCTATAAATTGGCTGCAATTATCCTAGTTGGATATCGTGGAAGAGGTGGAGATGTTTTGGTTCATTAGAGAAGTTAGTTTGGTTCTTGTTAAAGAATTCAGTTCATTCCTTGCTGCCAGGTTTTTTCCAGGTGGATAAATTTTGGAGTTTCGTTCGTTGCAGTGTAATTTGTATTAAGGTGTAAATTGGTAGGTTTGTAACCCAAATTTGGTTTTTTTTTTTTTAAAAGGAAAATATTGTTTCCTTTATTTCACGTGTTTTTTATTGGAAAAATATCATTTCCTTTATTTCACGTGTTTTCTATACTACTTCCATCTTTAATGATATTGGTAGTCCC